CTAAGCCCAAATTTTCTTATGTAAAACTGTGAGGATACCTAATTCTTAGTCTCCTGACAGAATTAAATTTCTTCTTACGAAATGATTGGCATAAAATACAAATGTGCATAATAACAATTAACACCTGTTTTTATAATTAAAGTAATATTTATTACTATGGCCAGTTACTGTACATAAGTTAGCTCATTTAATGACCTCAGAAACCCTTTGAGGTAGGTACTCTTACCACTCCCACTTTACTGATGAAGAAACAAAGGCACAGAGAGGCTAAATAATCCAAGAACACAGAATTAGAAAGTCTCTATGGACTAAATTTTTGTCCCCCCAAAATCTGTATAGTGGTCTCCCTTAACTGTGGTTTCACTTTCCATGGTTTCAGGACTTACAATCAACCTCAGTCTAAAAATATTAAGTGGGAAATTCCAGAAATAAATCATCATAACTTTTCAATTGTCTGCTGTTCTGAGTAGTCTAATGAAATTTTGAGCTGTCTTGCTCTATCCCACCTGGGATGTAAATCACCCCTTTGTGCAGTGTATTCATGCTGCATGTGCTACCAGCCCGTTAGTCACTTAGCAGCCGTCTTGGCTATCAAATCAACTCCTATCATATCACAGTGCTTCTGTTCAAGTAACCCTTATTTTGTTGTCATAATTGTTCTATTTTATTATTAGTTGTTATTTTATTATTTTATTTTATTCTATTTTATTATTAATTTCTTAGTGTACCTAGTTTGTAAGCTAAACTTGATCATAGGTATGTATGTATAGGAGAAAATATAATATGTAAAGAGTTCAGTACCATTTATGGTTTCCCTTATCCACTGGGGATCTGAGAACTTATACCCCGTGGATAAGGGAGTACCACCATATAGTGAAGCTTAATCCCTTATGTAATAGTATTAGGAGGTACGGACTTTCGGAAGTAATTCGATCATGAGGGTAAGCCTTCCTAAATGGAACCCTAGTGCCCTTATAAGAAGAGATATAAGAGATCTTGCTTCCTCTTTCACTGTGTCTCCACCGTGTGGCGAGTACAATGATAAGACAGACATTTACAAACCAGGAAGCAGGTTCTCACTAGACACTGGATCTGTAGACACCTTGATCTTGGACTCCCCAGCTTCCAGGCCTGTGAGAAATAAACGTTTGTTGTTTAACCCACCCAGGCTATTCATTATATAAGCCCAAGACAAAAGTAGGCGTGGTCTTGTAGACCCAAAGTTCATGGGTTCGATTCCCGGTTCGGGCACAAACCCAGGCAACCAATTCATGTTTCTCTCTCACATTGATCTCTCTCTCTCTCTCCCCCCTCCTTTCTCTCTCTCTAAAGGCGATAAAATAATGCCCTCAAGTGAAGATAAAAATAAATAAATAAAATAAAATAAAACAGCACTTTCTATATGCTGCTTTTCTCATATACAGTTCCCTTATTGGTAATTCTGTTTTATCTATTCCTCATTTCATATTAAGCTGAAGGCAGGCCCTCCTTTCATAGCCCACCTCAAATCTACCTCAACACTCCTCCCTTACTCAAATAACTTCCCCTGGTAATTTGTCTCTCACTTATATGAGGTTCCAGACACATCCTTGGCCCCTTTCACCATTTGAGGATACAGTTAAAAACCTGTGACCTAGAAGAGAGCCCTCATCTGTCCTGGCACCTTGATCTTGAACTTCTAGCCTCCAAGATTGTGAAAAATAAATTTCTGTTGTTTATAAGCTACCCAGTCAGGGGTATTTCGTTATAACAGCCTTAATGAACTAAGACACTTATAGCTCACATATTTATGCATATACCTATCTTTGCAGTTAGCTTAAGATATCTGAGAAGATGGAGATTGTTTTTTGTTTTTAATCTTTGAACGTTTCATAACAATCTTGCACAGTGCATTGCCTCAAATAAGTGTTCGATAGTATTTTTTTTAATTCACTTCTAAGATTATCAGAATAAATCTCCTAGGATTTTTTACTTTTAAAAAATCACACTACCTCCCTCCAAACTCCTGTGATATTTGTGCATTTTCAGACTACGCTGGATTTTTCACGCAGATGCCACTGGGAGAATGGGCCTGGAGCTTTGTAATGTTTTTTGGTAGTAGACCTCTTCCCTGGTCAAAAAGAGTTCTCCATCAGATCTTATTGTCCATGAGAATGCATTAATTGAAAAAGCAGACCTCCAAAAGGACTGCTGGACCATGCTGGGGTTCAATCATGCATGGATAACTAACTACTTACTGCAAGACATCTACTTAGTTTCCTAGTATGTATGAGCCTTTCCACTGTGCACAAGGAAATAAAAACTGCTAAGCACAAAATTGTTCTTTATCTAAGTAACACCAGTGCCATCTGCAGGAAAGCTCAAGCAACAGTTTTGGGTTTTGTTCGTTTTTTCCATGTATTTCTCTCTAGTCCCATCGGAGGACTTTGTCATGCTTTTACCTGATGAAAAACACTGCAGGGCTCACCTCCCATCAAAGATTTCCATCCATTCTCCTTAGTGGATGAAGAAAATGCTGTTAAAATATTAGAAACCGTAGCATGGCTGAATTTGAGAAATCCTAGTGTTCAAAGGGTCGCTGGAATATGATTTAAGAAACAAACAAAACCTGAGAAGTAGGTGGAAGGCTTTCCAATGCGAGTCTGAAGAATGCTCATGATCTTGGTCATGAAAGTGAATCTGCATCAGAAGTTTCAATGTTGCTTTATTAGACAAATATCCAAAAGCAAGGGATTTGAGGAAATGTCATTTGTTGTATAACTATTTTTAAAGAATTGTTTGTTATGTAAGTTTGCTCTAACTTAAATTTACATTTGATTTCTGGTTGTACAACAAAGTATTACAGCCTTCTTTTTGCCTATTTTTTCCTTTATTTTTTCCAAGCTTCAAGTACCCAAACTCTGGGTTCTATATAACACCCCAAAAAGCTGGATAGAACTACTTCTACTCCTAAGTATATTTTATGCAAATTGCCTATTATATAATCCTGTGTAAATACAGTAGTTTCCCCTTATTCATAAGGAATAGGTCCCAAGACCCCCACAACAAGCAGACATTGCCAAGCCTATATGTACAATGTTTTTTCTTATACAAACAATGTTTTTTCCTATATATACATATGTATGATAAAGTTTAATGTATAAATTAGGCACAAGAAGAGATTAACAACAACTAATAATAAATAGAACAATATACTGAAGGTGGGGGTTGAGTAGGGTAGGGGAGAGTAATGGGGGGAAATAGGGACAACTGTAATTGAACAACAATAAAAAATTATTTTAAAAAAAGTTATGAGAATATGGTCTCTCCTCAAAATGTCTTAATGTGCTGTATTCACTCTTCTTCCTGTGATTCATTGGTAGAACCATTCCATAAACAAGAAGACTGCCACCCATACTTTCTGGTCATGTTGCCAGAACACAAGCAGATAATTTTTGTTTTTGTTTTGAGAGGACATAGGCTCTTAAACCTGTATACCAAGCCTGGCTTTATCATATGCCCAGCAGCATTGTCACATAGCACCAGAGGTAATCTGTCTTTCCATGTTTTATGCCTTGGTGCTTCTTTGCACTTTTATGAATTGAGCATCTTCTTCCAGAAGAGTCTGGTTTCATTGCAATTGAAGCCTTGCTTTAAATGACATCCTTCCTTAATCAACTGCTTTAACTCTTGGAAATATGACAGCATCTTCTCCATTGGCAGATGCAGCAACTCCAGTAATTTTTGTATTTCTTAGTCTAACCTTATTCCTAAATCCGTGTAAATATCTCTTTCTTGCAGTAAGTGATTTGGTGTCACCCATTTCAGGGGACCCCTTGCTGAAGTCATTGTGTAAGCTCAATGCTTTCTGGCACAACATGTGGCCATCAAGCAGAACATGTTTTCTATTCTTGTCTTCCACCTACAAATTTAATCCTTTTTCCATCTTAACTAAGCATTTATCACATACTGTGGCTGTAAGTTTTGAAGTTTGAGGTACAACAGCAAAACTAGCATGAATTTCCTTTTCTTTCTTCACAATTTCACAGATCGAAGATTCATTCCTACTGTAGATCTTAGTAACCTGAGCTTACAATAGTTTTTCTTTTTTAAGTCAAGAACTTTCACTTTTTCACTTAAATGAAGCACTTTAAAGCTTCTCTTTGGCATCTCCAAATTGCCAGCATCACTATTCTTGCACTCTGGGGTCATTATTCAGTAAAATAAGGGTTGACACAGGAACTGCAATCCCACGACAGTCACCCTGACATCTGAGACGTTACCGAATGACTAACAGGCAGATATTGTGCACAGCATGTATACGTGGAGGACAGGAGGATTCACCTCCCAGGCAGGGTAGATAGGGACAGCGTGAGATTTCATCACGTTACTCACAGCAGTGCACAATTTAAAACCTATGATGTTTATTTCCAGAATTTTCAATTTAGTATGTTTAGATAGTAGTCTAAACTGCAGATAACTGAACTTGCAAAAAGCAAAACCACAGATAGGAGGTAACTAGTATATATACTATAAATTTCACAGCAAAAGTAATCATGTTCCAATTCCATTTCCAATAATGTAACATTCTCTCACCCCCACCCCCAAATAAGGAAATCAATATCTCAGGACTGTAAACATGATTAACAAGAAAAAAATATTGGAGTAAGAAAAGCACAACTACTGCATGGATGGCAATGGCCAAATAAACTACTTTACCACTAAATATTTTGGCACAAGATTTTGTAAGGTGACAAACCCTATTTTACATTCAGTTCCCAAAATAGCACTGTGAATGAACCAATATTATTAAACAACAATAAGCGAAAAAGACTAAAATCACCATGTAAAAGAAAATGAATAACATTGAAATAATGAAAGCACACATTCTGTTCATGTGAGCACTAACGTTCGAATCATCAGAACAAAATAAAAAGTGGGTTCAGTCAGATCCCGGCAGCAGCTGCAGCGGCTCTCATCTCTTAAGCTCTTCTCGCTACCTCCTTTTCACTTCTGAAAACATGGCCTCTGGTGTGGCTATCTCTGCTGGAGTCATCAAAGTGTTCAATGACATGAAGGTGCATAAGTGCTCAACACCAGAGGAGGTAAAGAAACGCAAGAAGGCGGTGCTCTTCTGCCTGAGGGAAGACAAAGAGAACATCATTCTGGAGGAGGGCAAGGAGATCTTAGTAGGTGACATGGGCCAGACTGTAGACGACCCCTACGCCACCTTTGTCAAGATGCTTCTGGACAAAGACTGCCACTACCTCTTCTATGACACAACTTACGAGACCAAGGAGAGCAAGAAAGAGGACCTGGTGTTTATCTTCTGGGCCTCTGAGTCTGCAACCCATAAGAGCAAAATGATCTATGCCAGCTCCAAGGATGCCATCAAGAAGAAGCTGACAAGGATCAAGCATGAATTACAAGCAAATTGCTATGAGGAGGTCAAGGACTGCTGCACTCTGGCAGAGAAGCTGGGGGGCAGTGCTGCCATCTCCCTGGAGTCCCCTCCAGTCACCTGCCTGAAGCATCTGGCAGCCCGAGACCTGCCTGTGGGAATCGCAGGCTGCCCCCTCCCTGTCATACCAGAGGGGCTGGGGGGATTCCAGCAAGGGGAGGGCAATCCCTTCACCCAGTTGCCAAACAGCCCCCCAACCCCTGGACCTTCTTCTTCCCTTCACCCCCTGACTGTTCCGGCCTTCCCTAACACTTTCAATCTGATTTCTCTTGGGCTGAAGCAGATCAAGTCTCCCTCAGGCAGGCCAGTTTGGGAGGGGCCTGTATTTTTTTTAACAACACCCCAATTCCAATAGATAAAACCTATTTCCAAAAGTAAACTTGTCATGATCTTCAAAAACATAAATTAGAATATTAGACTAATGATTTATCAGGAATAATCGACATCATTTTACTTGCTTAAATAAATTAGGTTTGCATGCACTGTATAAATTAAAAAACAATGGTCATCTGTAGCTACAGAATACTCTAATAGAACTAATCTATGATAGTAAAAGTAAATTGTGTATTATTCAGAAATAATCACATAATACCACATTTCATTTCTTTTATTTTGCAGTTCTCCCCAAATGCATTCATTATGGTCTTTGTTTTGTTTTACAATGCATGAATACAATCCTGGTCTCAGTCTGATGATGTCCTCAAACTGTGATCTAAAAGAAAAATTAGTCAATTTTAATGTGCAAAGCTTGCCAAGTCCCTAACTGGGTGCAAGGTTAGCACACTTTCCTACTTTTTCTTCCTCATATTTTCTGCTTAAAAGAGGTCTCTTGCCTGGGCTCATACATCACGAATGGTTACTACTGCACATACAGCAGTAAATCATTTCTGAGTGTTGTTGAGAAATGCTGAAAGTTCTCTGCTGTCCAACATCTCTCTCCCATCAGTCTGCCAGAAAATCTAACTGGAGAGCAGATGTCCAGCAATTACCATGAGAAAATAATTTTCAAGATCAGAAATGCTACTTACAGTTACAGATGTTAACAAAGATATCTAGGCATGTACTGAGCCCAGAACACCAACAAGACTGAATTGAAGTGAACATCATGTAGCTATTATTGATAATTGCTAGACTAAGCTTATATTTCAGATGTAACAATAAAAGGAGCAACTCTATTTATCTATTTATTTTTTATCTTGTTAAGTAAATTAATGATGATAAATCTTTTGATAGAAATTTGTAGGAGGAAAGAAATGAAAAGTATTATGATACTGTAATATCCCTGAGACAGTTCTAGAATGTGCTGCTGGCACAGGTCCTGATGAGGACCTCAGCTAGTTCTTGTCTCTTACTTAGTTCAAACAAAGCATATGACATGTCTTCTTAATTTGGGCACCAAAAAGGTCAAGGAAACACCTAGGGACCTAAGACCAAAAAGAAAACCATTGGTGAAGAAAGAATGAAAAGAATCTTAAGATTCAGGGGCCCTGTCACCTGGAGGCTTACAATAAACACCAAGGGAAAGGCTGAGCCAGATGCCCTGATGTAAGTCTAGACTGTATAAGATAAAAATCTGAAAGCTTGGAGCAAAATTCATGATTTTATGGCATTCAATCCTAAAAGGAAAACTAAGTGAAGAGGATAAAGTCCCCACAAGATATAATTCTTATTATTCAATCACAAATTGTCTTCTTGAAGAGAGAAAGGAGTAAAATAGCAAAATAAAGAAACATGATGATCCAAGAAATTCAGAAAGTAGCTAAGACAATTGTAGATAGTTCTATTTGCACCATGCCAAAAAAATAAAAAGATTATGCCAAAATGGTAAGAAAGGCATAACCACTGAGAATAAATATAAAAGCTGACGAAACTTTATATAGAGACTAGGACAAACCCAAATTTACAGCAAATGTAAACTGATTCTGACTGAAATGAGGATGAGTCTCAAAGTTTCATTCATTCCCAACACCAGGAACCTGAAAAGGCTCTTGGAGCCCTGTCTGAAACCACAGTCCTAGCTCAATGTCCAAGTTGCTCTGCACATGTAAGAGACGTTTCTTATTCCATTACCTGCCTACCTTCCTAGCCCCATCTCTCACTCTGTAGGCACACTCATGTGCACATACACACACATCACCATTTTGCCATGCTGATTTCTGCCTTTGTGCAAGCTGCACAATTTTCTTTCCTGAAGAAGTTAATCAAGGCCCAGCTCCAGTGTCTTGCTTTCAGCCAAAGCTCTTAGCCCTTCTTCTCTAGCTATAGTTACTCACCTCCTCTCTAGGTTTCTTATGTTGCTTGAATGAACTGTATTTTCCCACAAGAAGTTTAAGACTGTAAAATAAGCCATCATGAATAGGAACAGAATTTACCCACTCCTTCACCTTTTCCTACAGAAAGGTTTTTTCGAGGCTTCCATTCAAATTACTTTCTAACTTTGTTCAGAGATACAATGGAGCTAAAAGAGTGTTTTCTATCTTATGTTTGGTTGTAAACTGATGGGTGAAAATGTACATGTCCTACATTTAATTCATGTTTAAGTTATTCTTTATCTTAAATTTTCCAGGTGCATAAACAAATAAAGCAGTTTACCTATGTAATTAAAACCCTGCTGGAGTTTTCTATCTGGAAGTCTAGCTTGAAGCTCTTCCTACCAGGCAGAGACAAGCAATTCCATAAGTATGAGCAAGGGATATGGACTATTGAAGTGATGGGTTCTGCAAGGCAGTGTAGCTACCCTGGACTTCAATGTGAACTTCTGAGTTACAGAAAAATTAGTGAAAAATATAAGCAGCAACATGCTGATGTTCTCTCATAAGAATTCTAAATTAATTACATTACTAAGTTATTTAATATATCATAAACTTCCAAAGACCACAGCCAGTGTGAACATTTTTTTATGCCTAATCCAGAAATCCAAAGCAATTGTTTTTCTTCTCTCTAAACTCTCTGGCCTTGCACAAATTGAATTAGAAAAATTAACCTTTGGCAGATCCACAAGAGTGTTCCTCCTTTGTGGTGGCTGAACCCGCATAAAAGGTCTTTGGAAGAGTTTTTGCCTGATTCTGTCCTCATCAAAGAGCATGAATATGAGCAGATCTGAAGCCTATAAAGGTTCTTAAAATGTATTTGAACAAAATACTTGTTGAGACCTTAATATATCATCCCCTTGTAAAGTCTCTGTAAATTCACAAGGACTTTGATGAAATCAATATTTTCAAAGATCTCATTTCTGATGATTTTTAAGTGTGTGGTTGTGTAAAACTTTTGCTGGAAATCACTAAAACAAAGTCAATCTACCAAATGCCGAACCAACACTTTTTCACATTGTCTGCACTGCTAAGCATGTTATGTCCTAGCAAGAAAGAAAACTATACAAAACTGCTTCAGTGCTATTCTGTCACAAGATGAAGTCTGCAGAGACTAATAGGTGGATAAAAATTAAGCTATGTGAAAGTTAAAGAGAAGTGGTTTCCTAGACCGTAAAGTCTTCATCTTAACTCTACTTGAAGTGTAGACAGCAAAGAGACCAAAACTATATAAGAAAGATACCTAATTGTTAATCAAGTTAACATCTGACTATAAAGCAAAGTCAAATTAAGAAAGAAAATAATGGGAGGAATAAAATGGTTCTGCAAATAGAATATAAAGGAAAATGACAAAGGTTGGAAGTCTATTAATATAATGTAGTAATTTGTCATCAACTATATAAACTTATTACAGTATGTTTTTATTTAGATAAACCAAGGCAAAAATTTCAATATGCATAAATTGACTTGTTCTAAAAATATGGTACCACCTATGACATACATACAGAATGATTAATTAAGCCAGTAACATCTCAGGATAAATGAATGAGTGGCCTGTCTGATCTTTTCCCACCACCAGCCTCCCCAATACTGACATATCCACTCTTACTCACTTTATACCCAGAAGACATTTTTTTTTCTTTAATGGAAAAGAAAAAATACATACAAGCAGCAAATCAGTGTCTCAGGGCACTCTGCTTTACCTCATTTCCGCTTCTCCATTGACTACTTATTTAATATTATTTTAAAAATTATAGTAAAGATACAAACAGTTGGCCAAAAAAGTTCATTTTGTTGTGTCCATAAGATGACTCTAGTGGTGCTTAGTTGTCTTTAACTTCATTCAAAACAATTCTGTTAGATTGTATTTTAACAGCTGTCATATCAATACACATTTTTTTAAAAACTTACCAAAATTGGTGAATTTTTGTGTAACCATTTTAATATTGAAGATGGAAGATAAGCAACATTTTGGCATATTATGCTTTATTATTTCAAGAAAAGTAAAAATGAAACAGAAACACAGAAAAAGATTTGTGCAGTGTATAGAGAAGGTGCTGTGACTGCTCAAATGTATCAAAAGTGGTTTGCAGTTTCCTGCTGGAGATTTCTCGCTGGATGATGCTCCACGGTTGGGTAGACCAGTTGAAGTTAATAGCAATCAAATTGATACATTAATTGAGAGAAATCAACATTATAACACGTGGGAGATAGCCGACATACTCAAAATATCCAAATCAATTAAGTTATTAATTAAAATGAAAAACATGTCTTTTATTTTCAGGTGTACAGCATAGTGATTCAACATACATAACTCCTGAAGTGATTACCACAAAAAGCCTAGTAACCATCTGTCACCATACAGTTATTATGATACTACCGACTGCATTCCCTACATACATGTCATCCTGTGACTTATTTTATAACTGGAAATTTGTACTTCTTAATATTATTTTTTTTAATTTGAGACAAACTTCTTGCTATGTCTGAGACATACAATGTAAATTAAGTCACATTTCAAGGATGGAGCAAGGATTGGAGGTAAACCTTCAATTTCTCAAAGCATCCTCATTTTCTGTTCAACACATTTTATAATTACCTTATATATGGTATAGAAATATTGGAAATATTTCTAAATTCTAAATTATAAAGTAAAAAGTTTCATATTAGTAAAAAATATACATATTCTGTAAACTTACTTTTATAAACTGTCTAAGATAAAAGCAATAAAATGTTCATTATAAGGTGGACAATGAGACTATTCAAAAATTCCAGGACAGAGTCAGAATAGTGTGGCTAGTCAGTCCTGCTTCCAAATTCCAGGTAAAGAGAGATTAAAAGCAACTGCCACTGCTTGTTGCTGCCTCATAGCACAGCCCCAAAAGACATTCCAAATGAGGCTGTCCACTGTTCCAGCAATGCTCTTTCTTGGCTGGGTTCCTTCAAAAGCCCCCTAATTCTCTACACATTAGTATCACAGTCACAGCACTCTAGGTTCACAGGAAACCCCTTACCCAAAGCTTATCTGTGTGCTGAGAGCAATGTT